TGCAAGTGGAGGAGTGGGGAATCAAACCCGGTTCTCCCAGATTAGAGTCCGTGCACTTAAACCACTACACCAAACTGGCTCTTAACCACTACACCAAACTGGCTCTAGTTCGGTTTTCTCCCCAATGCTTATTTAATCAAAGAAGGAGCTTACGCCAATTTGAAGAGGAGGAGGAGGAGATTGGATTTATACCCCACCCTTCACTTAGAGTCTCAGAGCAGATCTCCTTTCCCTTCCCCTCCCCAGAACAGACACACCCTGCGAGGTAGGTGGGGCTGAGAGCTGTTCCGAGAACTGCCCTTGAGAGAACAGCTCTGAAAGAACTTGGGACTGACCCAAGGTCACACCGGCAGCTGCGTGTGGAGGAGTGAGAAATCAAACCCGGTTCTCCCAGATTAGAGTCTGTGGTCTTAACCACTACACCAAACTGGCTCTCTAGAGAGCAAAGAGGGGTGGAAAAGAAAGAAGGACCAAAGAAAACAAAGTCAGCGAGGGAGCTAGATCACCCCAACAGCTGAAGCAGTCGGGGCTGTTTCTCCTTGCTCCCCTGGCCCCTCTTTCCCGGAGACAAGACGAAAAGCTGTTCATCCGCCCTGGGTCGCCCTTAAGGGCAGAGGAGAAGCTGCTTTTTGGGAAATGTACTGCCCTCGGGAGAATGCTTTGCAAGGGTCCCGAAAGAAATCATTTTCAGGGCACTTCACTGTGGTTCAGTTAGTGGTTTTGAACCTCCCCCAGGCCATGACTATTCCTCCACACTAGCTAGAGAGGATGAAAGACAATTCCACCATTTGCTCCCTTGGCTTCCCCATGGAATTCAGTGGGGCGGGTGACGTTTTGTGGACATGAATGCCTCCTGTACATGAGATCTGGGCTTTGAATCCAGGTGCGTGGTGGTTCAGGGGTCAAGACGCTGAACTGCAGACCAGAAGGTTGGTAGCTCAGCAGTTCGAGACCTGAGTGCCGTGTGACGGAGTGAGCTCCCGTCTCTGGCCCCAGCTCCAGCCAACCTAACAGTTCGAAAGCAAGAAACTGCAAGTTGACAAATAGGCACTGCTTCGGTGGGAAGGTAACAGCGTTCTGTGCCAGCCACATGGCCATGGAGATGTCTTTGGACAGCGCTGGCTCTTCGGCTTGGAAACGGAGATGAGCACTGCCCGCTAGAGTCGGATTCGACTGGCTCCTGAGCAAGGGAAACCTTTTACCAGCCCACTTTGCTGCAGTGGCTAGATGGTGACAGGTCTCCCGCAAGCTCTAGGTTTGGCGCTCACGGAGCATAATGTAGGCTTGCCAGCTCCAGGTTGGGAAATTCCTGGAGATTTGGGGGGATGGAGCCCGGGGCAGAGAGGGGAGGGGCCTCCATGGGGTGCAATGGCCCTCCAAAGCAGCCAGTTTTTCCAGGGGAACTGATCTCTGTTGTCTGGAGGTCAGTTGTAACTCTGGGAGATCATTCATCACCCTAGTATAATGCCTCCAAAGCGGCCACCTGCTACACGGGAACTGATCTGTATAATCTGGAGAGTAGGTGCCATTCTAGGACAACCCCACGCCCCCCTTGGAGGTTGCAAAACGGAAGAAAACGCTAAGGAAAAAGCATCAACGGTCTGAATGCATAAAATAAAAATAAATTTCTTCAGAAATAGTCTGTTGAGTCTGAATGCACTCTGGACTAAAATTAAAATAAATTTCTTCAGAAATAGTCTGTTGCCTATTTCTATTTCACGCTAATGCGTCAGTTCTGTATTGAGGGTGGTGGCCACAACCCAACAGTTATCATCTATAACAGGGGTGTCAAACATGCGGCCCAGGGGCCGGATCAGGCCCCCGGGGGGGAGCTTCTATCAGGCCCGCAGTGGAATTGGCTGTCTTCTGCTTCTTCTTCCTGTTCTGCTGCTGCTGCATCATTGTAGGTTTGCAGCTTACAGATACACACGTGAACAGCATACTCAGGATTGCAACAGCACAGACAGTATGATGCAGTAATTCAGAGCAAGAGGTGTCAGTTATCAGACACTGTTAAATAAGCAAAATATTGCAAGAGTGCTAATGTTTTAAACATGATCTTATTTTAAGTTTTAAAAAACACCTTTGTGTTTGTGACCTTTATAAAGTTTATATCTTCGCTACCTGGCGTTACATTTTATGACACACACCGCCCAGCCCAACAAGGTCTCATTTATGTCAGATCCCGCCCTCCATAACAAATGAGTTCGACACCCCACGTCTATAACGTCAGTCTGCCCCCAGGCGCTACTTCACGACAAGAATAGCTCTTGAACTTGACACAATCCATACGTATGGATCAGCGTTCCCTCTAAGCTGAGTTAGTGTGAGCTAGCTCACAGTTTTTTTAGCCTCCAGCTCACACATTTTTGCCTTAGCTCAGGAAGGATGGCTCCGGAGCAAACTGATTTATGCAGCAGCCAAATCGTTTGCTCACAACTTCAATGCCAGCAGCTCACAAAGTAGAATTTTTGCTCACAAGACTCCACAGCTTAGAGAGAACTTTGGTATGGATGCGACACTATGCTCTCAGATGACATGCAAAAAGTGTCCATAGACTTCCCGTGACAAAAATGACGTCGCTGATACAAGGCGGAAATTTCCTATGCAGCCGGTGTTCAGCCGCACGCGTTTCCCAGGCATGCCCGCACTTCAGTCTATCTTCCTCTCAGGTCAAAGCGGCTGCGCGTATAACTCGGGGCCAGATTTCACAGAATGTATTCATACAATAATTGCAGGCCAGCAGTTCTCAACCTGGGCTGAATCAGGAGGTTCTCAAAACTAACTGGAAACCTCTGCCGTGTTTGGGACCAGATCTCACAAATAATGCACAAAATCATTGCAGACCGACCATTCTCCACTTACTCAAGGGGTTCAACCTGGAGGTTGGCAACCCTTGGCCGAAAAGCCTCCTCCACGCCCTCGGCCCACCCTCAGGGGTCCAGCTCTCCACTGGCCAGACTGACCCCTCCCCTCTCCCTCCCCCCAGTTGTCCCCGTGGAATTTTAATTCAATTAGGGCCGACGGGCCCCTTTCCCCTCCAATGGAAGCCAATGGAAGACAAACAATAGCAGCTCTTGTTTGCAATAAATTATTGCTCTCCTTTCAAAAGGGACATCAAACACGGAGCCGGTCAGGAAGCGTGCTTGGCCAGAACCCGGGTGAATCTCTCCCCCCCAAAAAAAGGCAAACAAGAAAGGATTTGGGGAAGTGTTTGCCTTCCTGAAGGACTGCGGAAGAGCAGCTTGAAGTGACGGGAGTTCTCAGCGCTGAAAAGAATCGGTGTCAGCATTTGCGTCTCGCCAGGGTTGCGTGTCAGCTAGGGGGACATACTCTGAGTCATGAGACTCGGGTTCAGATCCCTGCACAAAGCTGGCTGGGGAAGCTGGGCCCAGTCACTAACTCCCACATGTGCTTAACACTGTGAAGTTAACACTGGGGGGTGGGGAGAGGCAAAGGTAAAAGATCCATCTTTGATACCGTGGGACTCCTCCAGAGGAAGGGTGGTAGGGATGCCAGCCTCCAGGTGGGACCTGGGGATCTTCCAGAGAATTACAGCTCCTCTCCAGGCTACAGAGATCAGTTCCCCTGGAGAACACGGATGCTTTGGAGGGTGGACTGTACGGCACCCTACCCCGCTGAGGTCCCTGTCTCCCCAAACCTCCAGGAGTTTCCCAACCTGAATCTGGCAACCCAATTCCCCCATCCCCCGACGGTGGCTGAGGGGACCGGGCAACCTGAAACAATAGGGTTTACTTTCACGTCATCGTCAATTAGAACTGCCAACCTCCAGGTGGGGCCTGGGGATCCCCTGCTTTTACAATTCATCCCCAGCTGAAAGAGTTCAGCTCTCCTGGAGAAAATGGTTGTTGAAGGGTAGACTCTATGGCATTGTGCCATGCTGAGGCCCCTCCCCTCCTCAAATCCCCCCTCTCCCAGCTCCACCCCCAAAGTCTCCAGGTATTTTCCAACCCAGACCTGGCAACCCTATCGTCAATTGGTTCTTAAAATATGTAATGAGCAGTTTAAAAGCTCAGAGCGCGCAATGCATTGTAAAGTATCTCCATATTGTAGGCAGAGGCTGAGAGAAAGGTGACTTGTGGGGGTTGCCAACGTCCAGGTGGGGCCTGGAGGTCTCCTGGAATCACAACCCATCTCCTTGTAAATCTAGGAGGAGGAGGAGGTGGAAAAGGAGATTGGATTTATACCCCGCCCTTCACTACCCAAAGGAGTCTCAGAGCGGCTTACAAACTCCTTTCCCTCCCCCACCCCACAACAGACACCCTGGGAGGTAGGTGGGGCTGAGA